CCCCCCCGCTTCATTTGCATAAACATGGCTGCTGCTTTTTTCCGGCTCCTAGCTTTGCTGGAAAAAAGCGCCAGTCTAGACGTGGATCTTTCGGAAAATAAAGCCTTTTCCGAAAGATCCCTTATCCTTATTTTAAGAGGAATAAGGGATCTTTTGGAAAAGGCCTTATTTTCCGAAACATCCGCGTCAAGTCTGGCGCTTTTTTCCGGCAAAGCTCCGAGCCGGAAAAAAGCAGCAGCCATGTTTATGCAAATGAAGCGGGGGGGGATTTAAATCCCCGCTTCATTTGCAATTGCGATGTGTCTAATTTGCATCCCTTTTACGGAAAAGGGGTGCAGTCTAGACACAGCCTAGATGTGACCTCACCAGTCCCGAATAAAGGGGAATAATCACTTCTCTGGATCTGCTGGCAATGCTCCTCCGAATGCAGCCCAATATGCCATTAGCCTTCTTGGCTACTAGGGCGCCCTGTTGACTCATCTCCAGCTTCTCATCCACTGCCATCCCCAGATCCTTTTCTACCAAACTGCTGCTGAGCCAGTCGGTGCCCAGCCTGTAACAATACTTGGGACTCTGCACTTGTCCTGGTTGAACCTCATGAGATTTCTTCTGGCCCAACCCTCCCATTTGTCCAGGTCACTCTGGACCCGACCCCCACCCACCAGCGTTTCTCTTCCGGTTTCTCACTGAGGTCTAAGGGCACCAGATCATCAGCTGGGGTAGATCTGGGCAGCCCGGTGCAGCCTCTGAATCCGGTTGATGTGCGTTAGTCAAGCACGATGGCTCCACGGAGGGGTAAGCGGGTGGGAGTCGCCAGTCTGTGCTTGGCAGGAGCTCAGAGTTAGACGATCCAAGGGTCCCTTCCGGCTTTATGAGCCCAGGTTCCTTTGGGTGCTGGGTCCGGCGGGTGCTGATCCCCCAGGCCTGTCACAGCTTCACACCCTAATGACAGAGACGTTCCTTCCTTTAGAACCCCAATCTCCTGGCCGTGCGGGACGTGGACAACCTGCTGCTGGGGATGAGCTCCCAGATCGCGGAAGAGCAGGACAACGTGGTGGTGGAGGATCTCCGAGGTGAGGACACGGTCTTGTGGCAGTTTGGCCGCACGTCAGTCTCTGTCGGCTGCCTGGGGCTGCAGAGATCTGGGGGTTAAGATGGGTCCTTGAGGCAGGGAAGGAGGCCTGGGGGGGAAAGGCCTCTCGGGGCCCCTGCTGTCCTGCCCGGGAAGGGGGACCCCTGGAGCTTGTTTTGACATGACTGTGACGTTAGCTCCAATCTTGTTCTCCTCAGACTACTGGTACGGGCCCCTGAAGTACTCCCGCACCGACTATGTGGCCAGCTACATCCAGCGGGGGCGCGACCTCGGCCTGCCCACCTACAACAAGGTCCGGGAGCTCTTCAGCTTACCCCCCGCCCAGAACTGGTCCTTTTTCGCCCACGTGGACGCAAAGGTCAGAGGCCCCGAGCGGTGGTTTCCCCTCAGCTACATGGGAGAGCTACTGATACCCACGTCTCCGAGCGTTAGCTGGCCTGGTGCAGTCCCAGCTGCCACAGCCTAGTGCGGACACTGGCACATGGGCCAGACAGGGTTTCTGTCGGTTCGCTGCTTCACGAGGGTGCGTCTGTGCGAGCCACCACCTCTCCGACTGTAGTGCGGACATAAGCTTTGATTGGTCAGTAGGAAGGGCAGGGAGTTCTGGCCACGTTCTCCCCAGCCCTCCCTCCGGCCTAGCTACAAGTATCACCGGCCCCGCCCCCATGTTCCCTGTACGCCGAGCACTTGTGCGGCCGCTCAGCAGAGATTCCAGTGCAGCCCAGCTGATCAGCACCATGCCCACAGCTAGCTTTGTGTTTCTCCTGGTGGTGCACATCCCCACATGCCTCGTGCACATAACAAAATGTATTCCGCACATGGATGGAAAAGATTAGAGGGAACATTCCTGCACCCTGCTTCTGCAGCGTCACTCTGCTGGGCGAGAGGCACGCTGGGTGCCCCTGTACCTCATGGCAAGGCTCCCCCGAGGATGATACGGGGGGGGTGTCATCTACACGGAGGGGCTCTCCGTGAGGAACTGGTGGGGTTTGCAGGCTGGGGCTCTTGGTACCTGCCAACCCCAGTTTGGCCAAGTCTTGAAATCTTTGTGGGGGGCAGGGGCAGAGGACCTATTGGGCATGGTCCTTCCTTCCTCCTGCCATTGCAGCGGGAAGGCTGTGGGCCCGTACAGGGTAATACACACAGCTGGCATTGCCACCATCCCATAGCCAGCTGGCTTTGCCATAAGACCCCAAAGGCCTAATGAAACGTGCCAAGGTTTTACGTTACACGCCCTCCCACCGCAGTGCACGGGTGTAATCAGCCCTCGGGGCGTGTTCTCCAGGTCCGTCAGGAAGTAGCTGCCTTGTACGCCAATGACATCTCCAAGCTGGAGTTCCTGCCGGGGGCCCTGCTGGAGAACAACCAGAGTGCCGGAAGCCTCTCCAGCGCCATCATCTCGGACCAGTTTACGCGCCTGCGGGACAGCGACAGGTTTTGGTTTGAAAACATCAAGAACGGGTAAATGTCTCTGCCTGGGCCGCGGTCCCCCTGCAGCAGGGCTGTGGGGCACTGTGCACTTCCCCCTCCTGTCACGGGTCTGAGACTGGGCCCCGGGGGCCCTGCCAAGTGGGAGCCAACGAGCAGTCCCAGGCTGGCGGAGGATGGGTTCAGCTGTCCCAGCAGGGCCCTGGCAAACTGGGATCATGCTGCTGCGGAGCCTCGCTTGTCCGTCCTCGTCCCCGGGCCCTGCGCTGGGGCGGGGCGGCAGGGCCGGGGGTGGAGCCTTTGTGCAATGGGCAGAGCCAGCTCTGGTCACACGGGCACGACCCAGCGCTCACGCCCTGGCATGGCCATGAGTCACGCTGTGGTCTGTGGCTTGCAGCCCTGGGATTCTGCCCAGGCTCTGCTGTGGAGGGTAGGGGTTGGGGGGGGTCACACACGCTCCTGTTCTGTGGGGGGCTCTTGCTGAACGCCAGGTCTCTTTGCCCAGGTTATTCACACAAGCGGAAATTGACGAGATTCGAAAGATCACGTTCCGGGACGTCCTGGGTAACGTCACCTACGTGGGGCCGGAGGCCTTCCCGAAGCAGGCGTTCAGCTGGAGCGCGGGTGAGTGTTTCCCATCAGTGCTGCTGGCCAATGGCTGCTGTGTCCCTTCCCCCTTCCCCAGGCCCGTCGGAGGCTATACAGGAAGCTGGCCCACGACCCCCTGCCCGCCAGGTGGTTTCCAAGAGAGCAGGTCTTCTGCAACGATTTGGAGGCCCAGACCAATGGAGCCGGCTCCGGTCACATGGGAACGCCCCAACACTCGCGCCCTGGCATGGCCATGAGTCGCCGCTGGGCTGGCAAAGCATTCTGGGTAGTGGCAAAGTGAGGCCCACAGCCGGCGGGTAGAACCCCAGAGATCCCAGTCCAGCCCCTCTGGCTAACAGCCTCGGTCGCTTTCCCATGTCACTGGCACGTCCCCGGTGCCCGGCCTTGGCTTGAAGCGAGTTGGGCACAATTCGTCTGTGAGCCGCGGCCCGTGTTGCCCCTGGTCCTTTTGGTGCTCGGCCCTATGAAGTTCTCCACGGATGGTGCGAGCCCGTTGTGTTCTCCATTGCGTTCTCCCAGGCCCGTCGCCGGAGGTTTATTGATTTCTCTTTAAAATATGAAAATCCTGCCAGTGTGCTATTGCCCTGCGGGGGTTTCAGCCTTGCAACACCCCATCATGATACTGCCTGGCCCGGAACGCCTAAGACACGTCATTCCCTTCCTGGCCACCCCTGGGACTCCTGGGGGAACCGACGTTGCCACCCAATCCAGAGCAGGCCAATTCAGTGCCACGGTGCAGCCACCACGGGGCCCGTGCAGCACGGCAGGGCCCCGGCCGCTCAGCCCCTGGGCGGGAGAGCCACGTCGGGCCTCCAGCCCTGCCGAGCGTGAGGGGACCCCAGCGAAGCCCTCCCAGGGCCGCGTCGGCATCTTGGCACTCAGAGCCTCTTCTCTCTGCCCTCCAGCCGATCGGTGTCCTCAGCCCGGGCAGCTAACGGCGGCGCTGCTGGCCAACTGCACGCCCATGACAGTGCTGGACTATTTCGAAGGCAGCGGGGCCGGATTCGGGCTCATCCTTGTGGCGCTCTGCTGTTTCCCCTTAGGTTTGCTACGGGCCGTCTCGTCCTTGCCTGGGGGTTGTGCCAGGTCCCGCCGGGGGCGGAGCCCCGGTGCCGCCAGCTGGCCTCAGCAAGGGTTGCAGGCCCTCGCCTTGGGATCTGGCTCTGTGCTGTCCTCGGCGCGGAAACGGCCCGGTCCCAGCGGGCGGGGGGACCTCCGAGAGCTGCCGAGACCCTTCAGCTCCTGCCCGGTGCCGTGGGGAGAAGGGTGCTCGGCAGCCTGGCTGGGTCACTTCACCACGCCAGGGTCCCCGTGACACCGGGGCCACGCCCGGGGGGACCGGACCTCACGTGGCGCCTAGGCGTGGGTGGGGGGCTGTGCCCGGTCGGCGGGCAGATAGACAGTGCCGTGGCCCCGTCTGACGGAGAGACAAAAGGCAACGGTCTTCGCCAGCAGCAAGGCAGGTGTTAGAGGGAAACCTTCTAGCCGGAGGGGGGCTCGGTTACGAGGGAGCGGGGGAGGCCCCTCCCAAAGGGTTTTAAGGGCAGGTTGGGCGGGTCTAGGTTTACCTGATCCTGCCTTGTCACCGGGGGCCGGACCAGATGCCCAGGCCCCTCCCAGCCCGCTGCCTCCGTGGTCATGCGACTCCGTGGTCCTAGCAGGCGTCTCCGGTGGGACACGAGCGATGCCGGAGACGGAGGCAGAGCCGCACACTGAAGCTGGTGGCGCTTGAGAGGTGCCCTAGCGGGGGAGGGGAGCGGCCCTACATTGCCTCTGGGCCCCGTGGGAGGTGGGACTCGTTGAAGGCCCCTGCTGTGAGCCTGGTGGCCCTGGGGGGTCCCCTCGCCTCATCTCCCCCTCTCCTGCCCCTTTGCTCCCCAGTGAGCCTGTTCGTTGCCTGGATCGTCGCTACCTTCCGCAAGCGGGATTTCAAGCGGCTGCAGCGGAAAGCCAACCCCAGCCTGAGGAAGGAGGTGTCGGGCGAGGGCGTGCAGGGTGAGGCGGGGACCTGCAGGGGGCGCCCCGGCTCACTGCATTGAGTGACTCCTGTGTAGCCCAAGTCACGCATCTGCCAACCCCCCCTTGCTGTCCACATGGAGCCCATCACCATCAGGGGCGGGTGCTCCTCCCTCCCCAGGGGAAGGCAGGTGGCAGCTTCTGGGGCAGGCTGCAGGAAGCTGTGGGACTCCTCCCCTGCATTGCCCACTTAGCGTGAACCCCCTCACGCCTGCGGGGGTGATCTCAGCCCTCCCCCTGCCCCCCCGCCGTGGGCATGGCCTGAACGTAGCCTCCAGCCTTCAAAATGGAGACTGGTGACCCGACCTCGGGCTCCCTTGCCGGGTGGAAGTGAGGAAGACAATGGATGTGCCTGGGACAGAACCAGCCCATGGGACTCCAGAACCGCGCCCATTGCTTGGGGAGGGCAGGGTTGTGGGTTCAAGTCCTGCCCATGCACCCTCTGCCCTGGGAGTGGCCGGACAGCCAACACAGGTTGCCCCATTAGGAAAGCAGGATGAGGGGGTTGGGGAGGGCTCTACGGTGGCTTTGGGGACAGGGCATCCACCTGGGGAGAACAGGGTGGGTTCAAGCCCTGCCCCCTCCACCCAACCTGGGAGTGACCAGGCTGCCAACACAGGATCAAGGGCCCCTCTGAAGAAAGGGGGAGGAGGGTGGGTTTATTTGCTGGGGGGTGCAGGGTTGGGGGCTTGAATCCCACCACCCCACCCTCGGAGCAGCTGGGCAGCCAACACCCTTCCCGCCCCTGAGTAGACGCATTTGGAGTCTCCTCACCTGGTGCCCAACACCCTGTGTTCTCTCCCCAGCCTTGGAGTGGCAAGGTCCCAAGACGGACAACAATCTCGTCTACCTGCAGCTTCACCCGGACAAGGCCATCAAAGTGCTGGATGGCCGGCGAGCCCTGCTCCGCAGCATCAGCCTGAAAACCCAGTCGCAGGTGGACGTGGTCCTCTCCATGAACAGAGGGAACAAGGCCTTGCTCCTCAAGGTTCCCAAAGAGTACGACCTGGTATGTAACGGGTGACGGGACGAGGGAGCCCGCTCTCTGCAAGGAATACGTTCCCGGCCCTGCACCTCCCTTAGCCGCGTTCTTGGGAGCCCCAGAGAAACGCTTCTGCAGGGCTGGGAATCTTCACTGACTGTTTCTAGGTAGCGGAAAAGAAGCTTCTACTAAGAGCTGATCCACCACTCCTGCCCCAAAGTCCAGTTTGAAGCGTGTGTGGTGTTTTGGATCCTGTATTGCCCCTCTTTGGTCCACACAGCATGAAATGTGTGAACAGCGGCTGTGCCCAGTTGGCTAAATAACAACCTGGGCGCCGTAGGGATGGGTCAGAGGTGTGGGATGCTCTGATCTAGGCAGAGAATGTGTCAGATGTGCCCGGAGGTTCTGCTGTTCGTGTCAAGAAGCTGCAGGCTTCTCTCAAGCAATGAACCGATGTCCCCCACCTGGAAATGGACGTGTTGCCCGTTGGGTGGGCCTGTACGGGGGGCAGAGCTCCTGTGCCTAGGCGCAAAGAGAACACGAGAGGGAAGAAACATGAGATTTCCAAGTGGCAGCCTGATTCGCTGTGAGCGGGGTTCCCTGTAAGCCGAGTGCTGGGCTGGCAGCCTGGGATTCTGGTGGATTAGCAGAGCGCCTCCAGCCTCCAGCCTCCAGCCTCCAGCCTCCAGCATGTGTTTCTATGGGGGGTGCGCATTCACACGGGCCTGGGTGCGCACAACAAAATTTATCCCGTCCGTGGGTGGAAAAAACAAGCGGGGGCACTGGCTGCGAGTGGCATTGGGGGCGTGGCATTGTAGCCGGGTTTAACACGCCGGTGGAGAACCATTCCCAGCCAGGCCATGCGTGGTGCCCGCTCACCCTCTCCTGCCGGGGGGTCTCCGCCAGGTGCTGCTGTTCGATGGCGAGGCGGAGCGCAGTGACTTCATCCACAAGCTGACCGACTACCTGGAGCGCAGCGGGCTGTTCCTCAGCGTGGCCGACATGACGGAGCAGAGCCTGCTGAAGAGAGCCGTGACCAAAGAGCAGAGGAAGCGGATCCTGGAGACTTTCTTCAGACATTTGTTTGCCCAGGTACGGCCCCGTCAGCGCGAGGCAGCGGCGGGCGCCCGGGGGCAGGGAGGGTGGCTCCGGACAGAGCTCGGCACGTGATACCGCTGCTATTACTGGCAAGACACACAGGAAGCCAGGCCGCCCTCCCGGTCCGTTATACACTGAGCACAGGCCGTGCTAGGAGAGCCCTGTTGAACCCCCGGCAGAGGCTCTTGCACGATGGCGTGAGTCCCCCAAGCCAATAAATGCTTGGCTAAAACATGGGCTGTTTGCTTAGAGCTGGGCAAAGACCTTCAGCTTCTGTGTGGAATAGGAGAGGTGCGGATTAGCACAGCTGGAGTGGAAGGGGAGGGGAGGGGATTAGCACAGGAGGGGAAGGGATCAGCAAGGAAGGGGAGGAACTGGGGGGGAGGGG